TTTATCCAAGAGTGCAGAAACTAAGATTAAGGGTGGTCAACATTTGAACGAGGTTTTTGAACTTGATTTTATTGTGCCCTAATAAAAAATGTTGAGAACGTAATTTTGCATATATTTATCAACTTTCAAAGCCTATAACCACCAACCCTAACGAAATACTAATATAAAGTCAAAAAGCCAATCCGAATGCGCCATATCACGTGACTGCAAAAGTGTCTAGACTCCTGGTAGATCTGTGTCAAGACTCCTGATGGGTCCTTATGTTATACTTCTAGACATTTGGATCTATAATCATAAGATGCACGCCTGTCATGCCACGTAATTAGCCAATCACAGATAAAAATCTGTGCCTTATCATAAAATTGGTGTTATTTATCTGATTGGTTGATTCAATCAATTATCCAGGTAACTGAGCTTTATTTAGAGTACTTTTTTATATTAATATCACATTCAGTTATTGTGTTTTTATTATCTATATACGTATAATGCATGCAATCTGGTTTTTAAGATCTTTTAAAAACTGGTATCGATAAAGTGACTTAAAATTATAGTTTTTATATTGGTACCAAATTTGGCTTGAATATATGGCAATATAATTTGTTTCATATACAAAAATTCATTTGATATCGATATTGTATAATTCAAAAATGATAATCTCTTAATCAGTTGCTATGACTCAAATGAATAGTTCAAAATTTCGATCTTTTCAGAGCATTTTGAAGCATGTAATTCTGAAGCCAGAAAAGTTTATATTACATGCGATCTCGTCAAATACAAGTCTACTGATTGAAGTTATTACATGTGTTAGAACATTAATAATCTTGAAATATATAGACAGTTACTATAAATAAGATATTAACTTAACAACTGAGCCATGGTTTATGAATACTAAATTACACGTGATTAGTTAAACTACAGTAGTCAATTGCCATGACCCCTATAGACTGAAGCCTAAAAAGTTTATCTTGCATGGGATTTTGGCAAAACTATTAAGTCTTTTGACTGACTCCCCTTTTGAAGTTTGTGCAGTGCTTTAACGAAGTAAAATTTCATGTGACATTATCGAAATTAGGAAGTTTATTGATTTATTCTTATAGTAGTTTTCTAAAGAATGATTAAAGTAACTATTTTTTTTGAACTCAAAATCAAACAAGTAAAAATTTCACGCGTAAGATATTTTATTTGTAAATTATTTTGCCAAAACTAGTAAGTTCATTGACTGACTATGATGGTCGAAACATGACTTTTTGTTCTTGCTATTAATATATAATCTGTTCATAAAATACTTTGGATTCTTCACACTTTGAAACTTTCATTTGAGTAAAAATGTCTCTTTACAGAACAGATGACAACTGGCAATATTGACAAGATTGCTCATACGACCGTTGTTTGGAATTTACCAATAATTTACCACCACAAATTCTTTATCAACATGAACAGTTTATGTTTAATTCCTCTGAAACACCTCAAACTCAAGCTGTTAGCCATAATAATCTTGACATAGTTCCCCATATTAACCAGCCACAGCATCAATTAAGTTATCTTAATAACCAACAAAGTCATCAACAAAGTCATCCAGTCAACATGCCACATACTCAACCTGTTATTAGCCAGCAACAGTTAATTCATTTGGCTAACATGACACATACTCAACCTGTTATTAACCAGCAATCATGTCTTCCGATTCAGTCTCATATTATTAATAGTCCTATTGCTAATCAGGTTCAATATCAACAACCATCTTCTCAACCTCCACCGAGTCCTGTTCAAGCCAATATTCATATAAATAATCACCAACAGCTACCATTTACTGACCAGCCAGTGCAAGATAAAAATTGTATTTGTCAAGTTGTTCAAAATTGTAGTTGTCTAGTTTGTATTTTCTTATATAAGCACCATCACCACGAACAGCAAGAACAATGAAAAGAAAATCATAACAAAATTAAAGTGGATAACACAGTTATCATTAATAATAATCATCAAAGCAAAAAAAAATTTAAATGCATTATTTTTATTTTCATTATTTTTTGTATAATTTTATTATTTGAAATAATTTTTTTGAACAGCAATATCACAGTCATATTTGCCATGTTTGCTGATAATAGTAACCTTTTTTTGAACTTAAGGTTTATAGGCAATTAGTTACAATTATTAGCTCTATTATTAGTTTTATTAAATTTTACACTATTAGAAAATAATGGCTAAATTTTTTTTTAGAGATTTTATCTTTTATATTTGATAAATTTCTGAAAGTTATGAGGATGAAATAACATATTTGTTAAGCTTTTGACAATAGTGTAAGGTTTAATAAAGATAAATTGTTAATTTTACTATAATCTTATCCAAGAAATAAAATTTAAGATTTACTTTATAACCAATAAAGTACTAAAATTAAAAGACGAGTATTGACAACTTTACGATTTAATTTTTAAATAATCAAAATAATTGCCAAACAAATTGCGCAAGATTGTAAAAAAGTTTATTAGATTTTAGATTGTTACGAGGCTTACGAAGAACAGTGAACTTTGTGCTTTAATATACTAAAAGAGGCTCAAAACTGGTTACTACTTAAATTAGAATGCTTTCTTTGATAATTTCTTCACCTAACAATACCAAAACTAGTAATTTTTTACATATTCAAAAACATTAATATAGTATTTCTACTAATGTATATGATATTATATATTGGAGCGAGTAATGTATATTTCAGTATTTAAATCATGTGCTGCAACAACCAATTGTGAAACAAAAATGAACTGACTCCCTAACGACTGCCTACGTGTAATCTTTGAATTATTTTAAAGCAAGCAAAAAACTCTATTCTCATACCTACTTGTAAACCGCAAATAGTGTCAAATTATCATTTCAATTTTATGGAAATATCTGATGTTTACTCCAAAAGTCATCACAATGTTTCTCTTATATCTCAATAAAGAACAACAAATATCATTAATATCTTTTGACATCTGCGTTCTACCTAAAACATGCAATACCCTATTTGAATATCTACGATACATTAATTACTTCAATATTGCTGATCTAATTAAAGGCATTTTCAAACTTTACAATTTATGTATTGACAGTTTTAACTTTTATGACATTATAACTATAACAACAATCATCTTAATAAAAATAATTTTTCATTTTTGCATGAAGCTCGAAAAATTAGTAATCGATAATCATTACTTCAACTACATAGCTTATGATAACATTATGCAAGAAGTTCTTCAAACCTTCCCACTTAGTACAATTAACAACAGCATTGATACTTTAACTATTAGACGTTTTCAACTCAATTCTAGAGTCTGGAATGATATCACAAAACTACTCATTAAAAACAAATATATAACTTTGTTAAAGTTGACTAACATGAAACTTAAGCCCAGATTCATTACAACTTTAATCTCAGCTCTTCAACAAAACCCTACAATTCACTCGCTCAATCTAACTTATTTATTGCACAATAAAATCAAGTTCAAAAACCTCGTTCAAATGTTGACCACCCTTAATCTTAGTTTCTGCACTCTTGGATAAA